TATATATATATATATATATATATATATATAATTTCTTCTAATATTCCTTCCTGTTTTTTTTTCAAGTTCTTTATTTACACTAGTTGGATTTTTTTATATATATAAAATTTCAAATAATTATTTTAGATATAAAAAAATCATTATCTCCTACTTACTCTTACTATTAGCTAATAATATAAAAAAATCATTATCTCCTACTTACTATTAGCTAATGTCAATTATTTGGATATTATAAAACAAAATATGTATATTAATTATGATGGATGTGTTGACTAAATTTATTTGATTGTGGTATTTATTTAATTTCTTTATGTGCATGATTATTCTTTTTATTTCTAAAAAAAAAACTGTTAAAGGTTTTCATTTTTTTTATTTTTATATAAAATTTAATTTTTCATCGAGATTTTTTTGGGATTCTATTTTTTAAAAAACAATAGACCATAAATATACAAGTTTGAAAAACTTAAAAAATCCTTAAACTTAAATAATAAATAAAAATTAAACAATATTTTATTTTTAAAATTAAAAAATTAGCATAAATAAATAAAATATTATTAAAAATAAATAAATAAATTTTTATTTTCTAAATATTTAATTTGAAAATATTGTTTATTATGTGCTAAGTCTTGCTCTAAACATGCTATACTTAAACTCATACCAAATAAAGAAAAATAATAAAAATTAATATATAAAAATTCATAAAACTACTTTATTATTTTTAGAAACAAATGAAGCGAGATAAAATCCAACTTTAAATATATTTTGTGCAAAAATGAAGAGCAAGTGATTGAAAAATAAAAATAATTAAAGATATTTATTATACAATAATTGATGAATTAAAAATAAGAGAGAAACTTAATTATTAATATCAAGAAATGTAAATTAAGTCATCTAGACATAAAAAGTGTCTAGGTTGCTAAGTTTTGAATTTTTTTTAAAAAATTATCTACTAATTTTAGGTTATATGGACAAGAGAAAAGGCAACAATTGTTTTTTTTTTATTTCATGTGTCACTTCAAAAACTACAAAATAAAATATAAAATAAGTGATAAAAAAATTAAAACAAGAGAGTAAACTATCTAAAACCTCTTATAGATTCATGACAATCACATGTTTTGCATTATCGCATTTCATAAATTATAGATAATATTCTCAACTAGTTTAGTTATTATTAACATCATTAAATATTAAGAATATCAAAATATTCTTATATAAAATAACAATCTAAATACATAATATTCATTATTATTATTTTCTCTCTCTCTCTTAGCTATCTCTTTTTCCACCCAATTGAAACCTAAATTAAAAAAAATAAAAACCACCCAATTGAAACCTAAATTAAAAAAAAATTAATATATATATGTCAGATGTCACCTTAAAAATTACAAAATAAAACTTAAAACAAGTAATAAGAAATGAAAAGATAAAGAGTAAACTATCTAAAATCTCTTATAGTTTCATGAAAACCATGTTTTGTATTATCACTCTTCATAAATTATAGATATCATTCTCAACTATGTTATTATCAACATAATTGAAGAATTGAAAGTATGAAAATACTCTTATATAAAATAACCATTTAAACACATAATACTCACTCCTCTTTCTCTCCTTCTTGTTCTCTTTATCTATCTTTATTTATTCACCAAATTGAAACCTAAAATAACCATTTAAACATATAATACTCACTCTGCTCTCTTTTTCTCTATCTTACTCACTTTGTCTATCTCTATTTCTCCATTAATTGAAACCTAAATTAAACTCATCACTCCTCTAGTAAATTAATTGTTTATCATCATCTCCTGTAACAAATCAACCCTCCACCACCATTATCCTTTCTAAATTCAACCTACCATTACAACCACCTAATTTGCAGTCCAACACCCACCAAATGATTAGTACTTACAAGTATATTTTTATCAACGCTTTATGTCATTATTTTTGCACTTGAAGTATCAATAACTCCTTAACTAAGGTATGTTTTATAATAACATATCTAATAATATAAGATATCTTTAATTTGTGGTAAATGTTCATTTTAAATGTAGGCCTATCACATAAATAAAAGGATTGATTGATGAATTTAAGAACTGAAATTGAAAGGACAAAAAGATGGCCAAACTTAGAAAAGAGATGCTGGTGCAATCCAAACCGGAATACTATTTGGTAATTGGGTCATATCTAGAGCTGTAAATACCATATTTAGGTTTACTTTATATGGATGGAAAGGTAAGACATAGGCCTACAACTTTCATATGGAGCCCAAGATTTAAAAAGGTCATTTTCAAGTCTAAATTGTAGCAACAACAAAGAAGTCTGAATCTGTCTTCCAGCCCAAGCACTTTTCAGTGTTTGACCTATATATGGAGTTGAATTTTGGCCTATAAAAGAAGGCATTTTGGCCTATAGTTTCCAATTTTTAGTCGTGTCACCAAACCATCATATCTTTTATCTCCACCAAACTGACACTCCACCACTACCATCTCTCTAAACTAAATCCATTATTATAATAACTTAACTTGTAATTTAGCACCTACCAAACCACTATAATCATAATATTCTCCACTAAATTGACCCTTCATCACTAACAGTCATTCTAAATTGAACTTATTACCACAATCAACTAACTCATACTCACCATAACCACTATCAAATATTGAAACTAAACCAAACATACCCATCCATCTATGCTAAGAACATGAATATCAATGGTGATAACATCAACATGGTTTACTATAAATCTTTTTATTCCCCCTCTTCTATTTCTCATATCATTTATATTTTCGCTTTTCTCTTTCTCCTTTCATATACAAACATTAATAAGGGTTTGGCTTAGATTTTAGTCTAGTTGATGTTTTTTACCACCAATTTGATGATATACATATGAGAAATTTGCTTCTAGATGTTTTAATTTGTTAAAGAATATTTTTTAATGTCTTATATTTTTTTCATTTTTAAAATACAAGTTTTTTTATTTCAAAATGTTATAAAGCTTGATAGTAGGGGGGTTGCAGAGTCCCCTTTATTAAAACTCGTGAATTTGATTTTAATGGAAAAGATGGTGATTTGTAATGATGGTTTTGGTACTGGCAGAGATTGATAGTGTTTGTAAGAGAGGTGAAAATTAGTTTAATGATGGTTTTTTCTTTTTAAAATGCTAGCTAACTTGGATCTCTTTTGCTATTGTTGAAATTTAAAGGCTTAATTTTAATGAAGGATGACATGACTAAAATATTGATGTCTTCTCCCAAGTGCAGGAGTGTCAAAGTAATAAATAACCCGGTAAGACCGGGTCGAACCATAAGGAGGTTAATTGTACAAATTATAAATAACAATAATACAACAACAATAATAATAACAACAACAACAATAATAATAGTAATAACAATAATAATAATAGTAGT